CCCTAAATGATACTCTAAAGCAAAACAGTGGGGGCAGGGATGTCAAAAAATAACATGCACATCGTAACTGCCATTTGATGCAACAAATATTTAAAATTTGTATCATAAAATAGTATATAATTTGCAGAGAGATTCACTAACAACACATAAGCTCATATACCTTTTTCTACAACAAACAATCCTGAACACATGATCCTACACACAATATCAAAGGCAGGTCACTAAACATTACCATAAAAATGGTCTTCCATGCTTATTAACATTAAAAAAGAATGAGATGTCATTGTTAAGTACTGTTGAACCAGTTCTGATTCATAGTAACCCTGCATAGGATTTCTGAGGAGCAGTTGGTGAGTTTGAACCACCGGCCTTACAGTTCAAACTGACCTTTCGGTCCAGCGCGTACCCTAAAGTGCCACATCATATCTTCAAAAAGAATGATATACTCCACATATTTTTCATGAGAACAATTATATGAACTTATACCAGCCTAACAAGTCAGTTCTTATAGAAACAAAAACACATTTTAGTGGACAATATCAATGTTTCTCTGCATAAAGGTCCTGGTACAATTGAGGCCATGATGAAAAATCCTGGCTGTGCACAGAGAACAGGGACAATGAGTTGCTTACGTTTCAACCTCTAAAGATCTCTCACTAACTACCACAGGATACTCAATTTTAAATTGAGCAATCTGGGGTTCCTAATACATAATTAAAACCAGTCTAAAATTTAGATCTCAAACTTGTTCTTGACTCCCATATATCTGAAAGTCCCATTCTCTTTGTTTATGTCATCCTGAATTTATTTTGTTGTTTGAACTATGTGGTTTCATCTTTAGTTGGAGAGTCTCCTCAATATAATTAATCAAAATGTTAACATTCATTGATTTTTTTTTTTTTTTTCTAATCAGTAAATTGGGACTAGCAGAACTTCTTTGCTATGTCTTACTGAAAAATTCCTCTGTGGTCTTGATATTTCAAAGTAAAACCCTTCCTGACTGCAGGAGATAAGCAACTTTTGCTGTCTGTTTCTAACTGTCTATGAGGAAGGGCCATTACAAAAAAGTGACTAATAATAGAAACTGAATAGGTGCTTATAGAGGTTTGTTGTTGTTATTTTGATTTTAAAAAATATTTTTAATTCTCTCCATTATTTTACGGGACTCAAATTCCAGTGAGAAAAGGATATGATCTACTGAAAAGCACTTCAAGTTTCATTTCCATTCATAATAATCCTTTTGGATTATTTCTTTTAATGAGGTAAAATTTTTATCTTAAATTGTACACTTGTCATAAACCTTTACCCCAACACACACATACACACACAAAAAAATTATATATAGGTTTGCAGAACTGCCCAGATTCCTAAAATTCTTCTATTGTTTATTATTCCTATAAAGTTAAATTGGTTGGTGGCAGGATATTTACAAAATAAATCATTACAGGTTTGATAGTACAGTTGTCAGATATTACTAAATTGATCCAATAAAAAGGAACACAAAGGGCATTTCCAAATGCAACTGCTATTTCCCATTGGTTAAAACCTTTTTCTCACACCATATAAATACACAGCTGGGAAATAGTCTAAAGTAGGAATTGAAACAAAGTATTTTGGCTTATAGACATTCTGAATGCACAAAAACAACAGTGGAAAGCAATGCTTGAAATAAAGAGTGAATGAAATTTTTAAACTATGTCTTGTTGTTGTTGTTGTTATGTGCCGTGGAGTCAGTAACGACTGACTCATAGCGACCCTGTACGGGGTTTCTGAGGCTGTAAATCTTTACGGGAGCAGAAAGCCTCATCTTTCTCCTGCGGAACAGCTGGTAGTTTTGAACTGCTGACCTTGCGGTTTGTAGCCCGATTCGTAACCACTACACTACCTGAGCTTTCTAAACTATGTCTAGCAAATGTGATTTCTTTTATAATAATATGTTACTTTCACCATTTAATACTATAACAAACTCCATTTAATATAAATTTGGTAAGAAAATTATTAAATATCTATTTATGAAAAAAGTATAGACCGTGTAAGTTTGAGAATAACATCAAAGCAACTTGGCACTTGCCAAGATACAAACAAAATTTGACAAGAAAAGCAAGTAAAGTGTTCTCTAAAAAAGTAGAATCTGAAGTGTCTTATTGTTGTTTTCCCATATTTTCCAGTCTGGTTATTTTTATTTGTCCATTATTTTATTTAGCATCAAAGCCAAATTATATCTTGCATCCATCCCTTTTCTCTATACTCTCTGCCTCCACAATCATCCAAGCCACTATTGCCTCTCACCTGGACTTCTGAAATTGTCTCCCAACAAGCCTACCTGTTTTCACTCTTGTCTCCTACCTACATCATCACTACATCACAGCCAGAATCGTCTGTTTGAAATATTGTTAAAACTGTCTAAGGTTCTCCATTGCACTTAGAATAAAATCAAAAGCCCATAACATTATCTACCAAAAATTGTTGGATAAAGTGGGCCTACAGAACAGAACACAGAACTGCTCCCTAGGGTTTCCAAGGCTGTAATCTTTACTGGTGTGGTGCTGTGGGCTAATGCATTAGACTGAAAAGTCGGTTTGAACCACAAGATCAGGGGTTCAAGTTCACGAGCCGCTCCTCGGAAACCCTATACAGGCTTGCTATAGATCGGAACCGACTCAATGATACTTAACAACAACAACAATCTTTACTGGATCAGATCACCCAGTCTTTCCTCCTATGGGGAAAGCAGTGTAGCGCTTAATCACGGAGGGGCCAGCGCTCCTTACTGTTTGATATGGCTCCTATCAGTCTCTCCAACTATATCGGATACTGCATTCTTCCCTCACTTATTACACTCCATAGACAAATATCATCTTTCAGTTCCATAAACACAGTCATCTTTTTCTAAACTCAAAGATATCACACATGCTGTTCCTTCTGCCACTTTATTTTCTTCCCATTCGTAATCAGCAAGGGCCATTCCCTAACTCTCCATTCTAAATTACCTCAGCAGCTCTGGTAGCATAGTAGTTACGAATCAGACTGCTAATCTCAAGATTAACAGTTCAAAACTACCAGCTGTCCTGTGGAAGAGAGATGAGGCTTTCTGCTCCTGTAAAGATTTACAGCCTTGGAAACCTTAGACAGGGTCACTGTGAGTCAGAATGACTCCATGGCACACTATCACCACCACCATGTCCTCAGATAGCACTCGGTACTTTTTCTTCATAGCACTCACCACAATTTGAATTCTATAATTGTCTGTGCTCAGGGTTGTTTTGTGGAGTCCTGGTGTGGCACTATTATCATACACTGAACTGCTAACCAAAAAGCCAGCAGTTCAAATCCACCATCTGTTCCTTGGAATCCCCCTATACAGAGTCACTATGAGTTGGAACCAACTTGATGACACGCAACATCAGCAACAGCGGGTGTGGCGCCATAGGATAAGCTCTGGACTGCAAGGTCAATTTGAGCTTCAAAGTCAGTGGGCCAAACTCACTAGCCTCTCCTAGAAAGCCCCATACAGGCTCGCTATGAGTCAGAACTGACTCAACAGCACTTACTAACAACAAAACACTTCTAGTGCCTAGCAGATGCTTGGCAACTAAAAGGCATTCCATAATACTTGTTAGAATCAAAATGAAACATAGTTATCAACAACAATAATAAAATAAATTACAAAAAAAAAGAAACATAGTCCCATTACCTTGCCTAAATAAATGGCAGTGAGGACACCTATTTTAACCATGCTGTCATGGAGGTATTAAATGAACAACTTAAGTTCAATCATAAAAACAGTGGTCTGGGCTTTATTATACCTTCTGCCTGCCCTCATGCAAGGAAAAAAATCTTCCAGGGAATCTAATGGTACAATGTTGATCCTATTCTGACCTCAAATTAGTTTTGTTGTTGTTGTTGTTAAATGCTGTCGAGTCGACTCTGACACAAAGCGACCTTGTATAAGGGTTTCCGAGGTGAGCTTGAACCACCAACCTTGCAGTTCAAACAGCTTTGCAGTCTGGCACATTAACCCATAGCGCCATACTGGGACTCCAAATTAGTTCTAGAAAAGTCTTATTTATCTTCCAATTTACTACTTCTCAGTTACTTCTCCAGAGCACTGGCTGTGTCTTCAAAATCAACTGAATATATATATACACACATAAATTATTGAATCAAGTCTTGGAATGGGCTCCGAGACCTTAAGTATAGAATAAGAATTTAAATATATGTTATTAATAGGAAAGGCATTTAAAATATTATCTTGTTTTTTAATTTATTTTCCTGATTGCCCACAAGCCAAGAAAGGTAAAATAGGGTTTAAAACTTCTAATCTAATAAAAACATATTAAGCTTTTGGACAGTTATAGATTATATATATATATATATCTTTAAACTAGATAACTAATGTCACTTATGATTTCTGTTTTAATGGTTAGTGACAGAATTTACAATGGGAAAGCAAGCTAATACATTGAATGTATAGCATGGTATTTCTACCTTTAGGGCCTACTTCTACGGCATGATTTAATGAAACATCTGAGCTTTGCATGCCTTTTTGAAATTGATATATAAGCATATAAGTGAGAAAAGCTTTATTATAAATCAAGTTTATCCATTAAAAATGATAAATACCTACATGTCTTCATTGAAGATGTAGTCACCATATGACCTCATTCACATACATATTTGCTCAAGATGATTTTTCTGTATTAATACAGAGTCATACTTTATTTGATTATAATTTATTTTGTGATCTATCCAAGTCTACTACCTTGAATTCAGAGTTTTGGTAAGTCAACCTAATAATGTGACTTAAATCACGAATAGTTCTCCACTTTTCCCAGGTGCCAATATGTTAATCATATGTACACGGTGTTTTTCATGTGACCTAACAATAATCCTAATGCTATGTATTTTGAGCTTTCCCCTAAAACACCATCTGTGTTTAGGGAATGTGCCCAGGCTAACTGACACAACTTATTAACAGTGGCCCGATTTTTAAAGCTCACCATTCTTTGCTGAGACGACAGAACGCTGTCCCAGTCAGCATCTTGTTGAATGGTTGTGACAAGTGTTGGGAGCTCCTCAGAGTGAGGTTTGTTGTGCATTATGGGGTGCAGAGGCAGATGGGAGGCCACATGTTGATCACTGCCCTCTTCCTTTTCCCTTGAGGTCAAATCCTGGGTCATGGCTTCCTCTCCATCAGTTGCACAGGCAAATGGAGAGGTGGCTTGCTTAGAAGACATTCTTCTGCAGAAGAAGAAAAACAGCAAGGACTAAAATGGGCTGTCAACAACAAAAGAGTAAACTGTCCCTTGCATTTGACTAATTCAGGAAAAAGAAGAAAAATTTCCCAACTTTAGAGATGTTTATGATCTATTTTTGGTTGTTGTTGAGTGACATCGCATCCGTTCTGACTCCGACTTGTAGCAACTCTGTATAGAGTTTCCAAGGCTTTAAATCTTTGTGGGAGCAGACAGCAACAGCAGCTGGTGGGCTCAAACTACAGATCTTGTGGTTCTCAGCCCAGTACATGATCTATTCTAAACCACCGAAAAAGAACAGCTATATGCCATTCTTTCTTAACTCAGCAAACGTCTTCGCAGTAATTGATGCATGGTTTCTTCTCTTGCCAATCCACAAATGAAATCATTATAGAATAAGTTTTCATAATGTATAATGCGTTTGTAATTGTGTGTGTGTGTGTGTGTGCATTTTTTCTCTCAGTTCTCCCCACTAGATTATTAGCTTCTTGTGAGTAATTAGAAAGATAGTTGGCAATAAAACAATGAATAAACTGGTAAATGAGTCAGTTTGGAAGATAATTTGGAAATAAAAATACTCAAAATTTTCTTATACTTTATGTAGGAACATTCATGAAGTGGCTATGAAGGAAAATATAATCAAGAGAGCAAATAGTTTATAATGAAGTCCTAAGTAAATCTTGTCCTGATTTCTTCATTTACACCTTGTATTCTGAGAGTTAGGCCTGCCTAATGCTGCTTGATGGGGGTGGCAGTGGTTGTGTGCCACCAAGTTGGTTCTGACTCATAGCAATCCTGTACTGGATTCCCAAGGTTAGAAATCTTTACAGGCACAGAAAGTCTTATCTTTCTCCTGTGAAATGACTGGTAGATTTGAACTGCTGCACTTGGAGTTAGCAGCCCAGCTCATAATCCACTATACTACCAGGGCCCCTTAGAGCCAATCAGATTGTTTTTGAAAGACTCTTGAGATCTGTCCATTGTTGAAAATGTTTAAATGAACTATTGATTGAGTGGATGATAATGTTAGATTAGTCTTACAGCAATTCTGTGCCAATTAGATTGAATATCTGAAATAACTATACTTTTTATATTAAAAATGATATGAAAGTAGTAAAATATATATTATGTGTAATGTTCTAAAACCAACTGGTGAACATTCATGTATGTATTGACATATAAAATTGACTACACTCAATCTAACAAGGTCTTCATTCTCTATTTCCCTATAAAAGCATAAAATCATGTCTATTTCCCTATAAAAG